AGTGGAGGCAAAATTAATCAGTCGGTATTTAGAGATGTTTGTGAAGTACGGTAAATTTCTTTATGGMATTATATCCAATTTCAGATCAGAAAATTTGCATTATATTGTTTTGTTTTTTTCCAAGAGAAAACTTATTTAATAAAACATAAAATTAATTTGAAAGCACAGAATTCAATAATGTTTAATGTTTTGAAAATTTTTGGATTCCCTCGATCCCGTAGACGAGTTACATGAGGACCTCCGAAAAAAGCTGACTGACGACGAGGAAGATAGTTCGGTATAAAATAAAATTATTTCAAATATAAAAACCCAAAAAGGGAAAATTTATCATAGATGAATGGTAGTCAAAATATGGGTTTTTAAAAATATTTCGGCTTCCCATAAAAAGTAGTTTAATGCAAAATAGTATACAAATGCAGGTTAAAAAATCGAAATTACTTTCAAAACTTTTAAWCCCTCTGTCATTACCACCCATTAAATCTAGAAAAGTCATATGATAGCTTTAAGTCGGTTCGTCCCATCGCGAATTATACGCTACTCTACCAAAAGTAATGAGGCCCGCATCAGTTCAGAGCTCACACAATTTACTGCTTGGCATTTGCTTGCAGCAACACAAACTCCCATCTCGTTTACTTCACAGCCACATGCAATAGTGTGTGTGCGTGTGTGTATACAACTGTGTCTGAATAATTTCATATTATATGTCTCTATTTACACATGTTTATATTTGTTTGCATGTTGATATTGGCTGTTCCTTGCCTCATTTTGTTCGTCTGGTCGTTTGTTCGTTTGTGCGCTGCGTGGCAAGCAAATGTGCTGACATGTTAATTTGTATGTGGTAATTGCATTTTTAAATATTTAAATTTAATTCACATTTTAAATTGTCAACACATTGCATACGCATATGCCCCAGTGCATTGGACTTTTTGACCTCTATACGGTAGCCTCGGTAGCGTCTTGTCACCAGCAAGTCCATGCAATTGCTCCGAACATGTGTTTAAACTTATGTCACAACAAGTTTACGCACACGCACACACAGGCGACAGATGTCGGCAACACCTGCTTGTTTTTTTCCGTTATTCCTTTTGCATATGCAGGTACACACATGCTGCAATCCTCCTTGTAGCACAGAGCAAAATGTATCGATAATGATTTTCTGTTTGCATGTTATGGTGGCATGCAAAAGCATATTTGCCTTTAAGCCTTGACGATATAATATGTAGAGCAGCATATACATAACTAAGTGTTGTTAATTTTTCACTTCAAGAATTAAATTTGAAGTCTTCACTTTGCCAAAAACCAATAATTTTGGTCTTCTGTTATATTAGTGGTGGGGCAACTGTCAATAATTGGATTAAAGATCGATTTTAAGAATAATTTGAGCATTCCTATATAAAAATTTTATTACTGAATATGGCTCATATATTTTTATTAATGGTAAAATAAAATAATAATATTGCTCTATTTCTCTTCAATTGAAAGATATACAATCATAGGTTTGAATTTTGCAAGGGAAATTCACAATTCACTATCTTCGTCTCCTTCTTTTCCTCTTCTTTTTACACTTGTTCTATTTTCTTTTCTCTTTCTCTCTCTCTCTCTAACCCGCTATATCTGTCGCTTTCTCCCCTTTTTTTTAGAGAAGCTCTTAGTGAAGCCAGTGGTCAGTTACTAGTACCTACAATATATCCTACAGCGCCCTCACAATGTATACTATATACTATATTCGTGTTCCTCTATGCCTCTCTTATACACATCTAGATGTGTATAAGAGACAGCTACAGCGCCCTCACAATGTATACTATATACTATATTCGTGTTCCTCTATGCCTCTTTTTCCCACATTCCATCTATCTCCCTCTCTCCGTCTCCCTCTTTTACCCTCTCTTTCAAGATCGTTTTTCCTCTTTTTGTAAGAAGAGCTCCAAGTGAAGCCAGTTAGTCAATCTAAGTGGTCAGTTGGTCAATCACTAGTCACCCCAAAATATATTCAATGGCACTATATCATTTCTACTCAGTCTCTAGGTTTCTAAATCATTCCTTAGTGTTCACAAGATATGCCTCGCTGACTGTTTCTTTCGCTTCTTTATAAGGAATACAAGATAAAGGATTATATTTATTTTAATAATTTAACAATTGGACAATATTAATGTTATATTATTGAATATTCCATAGATATTTCAAGACACCATAATATCTTTTAATTCAGATAATCCAGACATGGACTGATTTATATTTCACCGATAAGATTGTTAGGTTATCAGCCTACATATCCATTTCTGGTGTCGACTACTGTTCACACTTCTTTTTGTATATGGGTGTGAAACATGTAAACCGGAAGCTGTAAGTTTTGATAAACCAATAACTTCACAATGTTTGCCGTATTTCCTGACCCTTCAACTTTCCTAGCACGGACTTATGGTCACGCACAAGCCAAGCGCTCTGGTGGAACTAAATTAGGCGTGTTCTAAGATCCAGCCACAATCTGCTCTAACCTGGAGAAAAAATTTGGACTGCGAGCTATTTAAAGGCCAAAAAAGTAGGCCAAGAAGTAGCACAAGATCAAAATAAAAAGAAGAGTCTCTCTGTGGATATTTTACATCTCCACGAAGCTAATGTTTCAAGATTAATCTAGAATGATAGGAACAATTTTTAACAGTAAATAAAAATGTGATCAAGGATTCTCGATTAATTGCATTAAGAAAATTAATATAATGAAGATTTTACAKAAAGGACATGAAACCTCATATTCCAAGTATGGAAGTTTGGCAAGACTATGGATCAATTATGATAACTTTGGACCAAAATTAGCATAGAGCAGAAAAATASTTATGCTTTATTTCTTTATTTTGGTTGATACATGAACTATAAATTGTAGCCACAGATTAATAACATTGAAGACTACATTAARTATAATGGAAATGGTAACGGTTATCATCCCATTTCGGGAACAATGTAACAAAGTTTGAATAGAAAGGAGCATATTTGGTTAACGTATCTTCAACAGTATATGAGATATGTATCCTCTTATAGGGTAGGGTAAAGGGTATTTGATATTTAAAGTGGTTCTACTTTTTTAAACCACACGCACATATGTCTCTTAAGAATACTGAACAGGGTTTACTAAGTTCGCCACGAAGTTTGTAATAGGTATCTATGAAAAAATATCATAGACCCTGTRAAGTAATGATATAAATGATTAGCGTGACTAGCACAGTCGATTTGGCTATGAGTGACCATCTGCCTGTGCGTTTATTTTTATGTTATACGTTAACTAATTGTAGAATTTTTTTGATATCGATCTGAAAATTTTTCAACGGCACCKTATGAAATTGCTTCTTTATCGCAACGTAAATAACGGAACACTATAGCATATAAGTATGGTACCAACTAATCGATCAAATCAAATTGACAGGTCAATTGAAAGGCCTTGCTTCAGTCACCCTAAAAGTTACCTTCAATGGTCATACACTGATTATAGTGACCCTCCMATTTTCGATACCATTTTTGTAGWACGATTTGTTCTTTGCTTCGMAATAGGTCTCAGCTTCGTCGATARCCTCTTCATTCAATTAAAATGTCTTACCAGCGAGAATTTTTTTTTCGATCTGAGAACAGGAAATAGTRRCGGGGGATTAAATCTGAAGAAATGRGTTGCGGTCCATCCGTTGAATCCAATTTTCGAAGACTCGTTCGAGGCTTTCGACTAGTATCTAGTGCATCGCTCGCATGATGCTTTGCTCCAAGACTTCAATTGAAGCGAAATTGTCCGCATAGACGGAGGAGGCTCACATATCTCCACAGGTAAAGGTCTAACGACGTAATAACATACGATCATGGTTGCCAAATCGACCAGCTCAAAACGTGAAATTATCTGCTCACCGAAGTGTTYTCTCAATAAATTCATTTATTGATGATGTGTGTAGTCTTATTGAAAACAAATGTCCCTGAGATCACGAGTTTGAATCGCAGGTTCAAATAGCCTATTATCATGGCGCGATAACGKTCGCCATTAACGGATACGTTCTCGAAAGTGTAATTTTTGTTGAAATAAGGACCGATGATTCCACCGGCCGACAAATCACATCAAACCATTGTTTTTTGAAATAACTGCTCTTGAATCACTTCAGGTTGCTCGTTGTCGCAAATGCGGTATTTTTTCTTTTCTTTATTGAGCCAGAAATGTTCAAAATGTTCAAAGTTCTGGTCGTACCGCCTTGGAAGTTTTCAAGAGCTCATAGTGCGAGGCAATGTCGCTTGGGGGGTCGAGCGTCATTAGTTCTCGCACGRACACTCTCTCCTTCGACTGCTATATAGTATTGCCTGTGTGCTGAACGTAATCTATTCGGTCGAAAATTATGCMATAATGAATGTTGGGTCTTGATATGGGTGATGTTGTTGCGAATGGTACGCTCCGTACATCGCTTATGTTGACTATAAGTTGAGCGAAGCRTACGAAAAGCTTCACATAAGTTGAACGATTTGTAAACGTTGTTCAGGCGTAAATCATTCCATGAAAGAAAGCCAAACAATACTGAACAAAAATATCATGACAGCTCGACACGACTCACTGATCGGTCAAAAAAAGGCTTTTGAAAAAAGTATAAACACTTGGATCACGCGTTATAATTTACAAACTATGGATATGACAGCTGTCAAATTAATAGTAGTAGCGCCAGCTAAGAATTAGGTCGGGGATTTTTCAACTGACCTGTTATTGTCCAAAGCTTCGTAGATATTTTTAAATAATTCATAAAAGATATTTTTCCTTATTAAGTAACCTTAATTCGACTTAAGGCTTATTTATATGAAACAACTAAGTGTAGTTGATCCCGTTATTCACGAGCAAAATAACATTATAATATATGTTGACTAGTATTTTACTATATTTAGCCTTACCTTTTTCCAGATAATCTGGCTTCCAACAAGTCAAAAATTAAATGCAAATTWTTTTCGAAATTCAACACAAGTAACAAATTTATTCATTTTCCGCTCAAAATATGAGCCGGCTTATTAAGAGCTAGAAAATTTAATACGCCATGCAGATTGAATTACCGTTAGCTGCTGTTGTGCATGAACATTTTATGCGGCTAAAAATATGCAATTAACCATATTGTCTCAGTGTCCAACACGTCAATGTCAGCGGCCGTGACGGTAACTCAGTCAGTGTCGGCGCCGGTGCTACCGGTGTAGCTGCCAAAGCCGGTGCATGCATTAGTGTCAGTAGCAGTGCCGGTGTCGGTGACGCTGTAAATGCATTAACTAACGTGTAGGCGTGTGTGTGAATGTGTGCAACAGCTGTCGAGGTAACCGTTTAGAACCAGGTACGAGTGCATACAGGTGTGTATGTGYGTGTGGTTAATATGAACACAGCAACGTGACAACCTACACCACTGACATGTTGCAGCAGCAACGCYGACTGTCGCTCAGATAATGTTGCACACAGCACATACGCCCAGTCGAGCGCCAGTTGTGCGCTATGCAAATGTCTGTGGTGTGAAAATGTTTAGCTGTGTCTTCCAACGCCGTGTAAGCCGTGTGCTGGCGTTTAGTATCTCGTTTAAGTGTCATTGGCTCAGGTAGTGTACTTKGAGCGTGTGCGGCGCCGCAAAGTATCACTCGTGTGGGTTGTCACTGTTGGGGCAGACAGGCTGGCAGCTAGCAGTGGCCACAACTCCGCAGCCTCAATTCTGCACCGCAGTCTCGTCGTTGTCCTCCTCCAGCGTTCGGTAGCGTTGCCATAATTTATGTTGTATAATCTCAATGCTGAGTGCCAGTAAACTAACTGCACAGCCGAAGATAAGAACCAAAAGTGCTGATGCGAAGGTTTGCAAGTCGACCTGCACACGTTTGTGTGTGTGTGTGTGTGTGTGCGCACATATGAAAGAAGTAAAACGAGTAGAAATATTATGAGTAGGGAATATGGAAAATATTTAGTAGCATAATTTTGCGCTTATATTCAAATATGTCGTCTAAGTAAGAACGTTTATAGTAACCAAAAGCGATTTTTTTTTACTCTTTTAGTGAAAAGTATCAATTTCAATTTAGGCACATACAGGGTGTCACATACARAAGTTTAGCACCACATATGCAATAACTCTATACATCTTTATTCCGGGGACGAATTCGTTCCTTAAGTCTACCAAATTTTCAGCCACTAAAGACAGTAATTGGATTTACATGTACGCTGTCTCGAGAATTTGGAATCAGTTATCTCTGGTCTTCTGGGTATTAGTAGGAACCTGCTAACAAACCTATACCTCTAAGGTTTTTCTGTCAAGTGAACGAGGTTAACCGTGGCCAAGCAGCATGTTTGGAATTCGTTAAGGGACTGATGTGGTTTGAAGGAAAAATTCTCATGGTACGACGTCCGAGACCCAACATGCCAACATTTCTTTATAATTTCTTTGCAATTTGTCAAATGCTTACCGATCCCAACTTTCTATTTATTCAACTTGATTTATCTATCACCTCTCCAATTTGACTCACCTTCAAATCGTCCGTATGTATTTGTTTAACACACCGCGGTTTCGGTGAGTGCCAMACTTTGCGCTGGTAATCCATTAGACCAGATTCGGTAACACGCCGCAACCTTGACAAAAAACAAAATACAATTTAAAAAAAAATTATAAATTCAATTTTAATAACAAAAAAAGTTATTAAACATATTGCAATAAACTTTTTCAGTATACACAAAGTTATACGGTTTTTTTTCACTTTTTCGACACGCAACTCCCACTACAATCAGCCCAAATGGCGCATATGTGCTCACCTAAATTTCAAACATCATGTTGCACAGCTGCTCGCATTTCTAACGCCGAACTGCGTGGTGTGCGTGTGTTGTGTATTGCATATGCTTACAACAATCAAACATGCATTAATTTTCATTCAGATTCATATTTCATTGGGGAATTCACAGGCAGGTATGATACTCGTATTACTTGCTCACTCATACTAATTTCACTCCGGCCTGCTGCCATATGTGACAACTGCATATGAATATATTGTGTCTGTAGATTCTTTACTCAAACATTTAAGTATGTAGACTTATGACTATTATGTACACTAAATATTGCCATATTGGAAACTAAAATGGATTGAAAATTGCTTTCAACTAAGAACCTACAATTGTTATGGCAATAAAAACTGTAGTACCTTGCATGGACTTATCGTAACTTAAGCTAACCTAAACTTAACTTAACATAATTTGCACTTAAGGGAACTTGAACTTAACTAACGCTCAATTTGAAATTAACCTAAAATAAAGTTACAACTTAGGGCAACTCAAACTTAACTTGAACTATCTCGAAACTTAACTTAGCCGTAACATAACTTAACTTCAATATATAGTAACTTAACTCTAATTAAATTGAACGTTATTTAATCTTGAGGCAACTTAAACTTAACCGAAACTTAACTCAATCGTAACATAACCTAACTTAAACTTCATATAACTTAATGCAACTTAGTTAAGCGTAATTTAAACTTTACTTAGGGAAACTTAAACTTAACTTAAACGTAATGTAATTAACTTAAACTTAACGTAACTCAACCCAACTTAACTTAGCGTAACTGAACGTAATTTAACTTAAGTCGTGACTAAACGAAATTTTAGCGTAACTCAAATTAGCCTAAACTTAACACAAACTTGACTTAACGTTACTTAGATTCTTGTCATAAAGTTACATTTTAAATTCTTAATGTTATAAATTGTGGTTTAAGAAAATTGAAAATATGATCAGAGTAAAACCTTGTATGACATTTGTTTTTTCGAAAATCTGTTCGAATAAAC